TGTAGTAGTACCTGTAGTAGTTATATGTAGTAGTACCTGTAGTAGTAATGTGTAGTAGTACCTGTAGTAGTTATATGTAGTAGTACCTGTAGTAGTTATATGTAGTAGTACCTGTAGTAGTAATGTGTAGTAGTACCTGTAGTAGTAATGTGTAGTAGTACCTGTAGTAGTTATATGTAGTAGTACCTGTAGTAGTAATGTGTAGTAGTACCTGTAGTACCCATCAGATGTGAGTCTGGTTTGAATGATCTCAGTTAAAACATGATGTTTCTGGATCAATAACATAATCGATACATAGATCAATAACCATCAGACTGACTGAACACTCATCATCATCTTCATGGTGGCAGGAAACGGCTCCATTAAAACACACACAAACAGGAAATCCACACATGTCCCTTCAAAATAAAGCCCATCTGCAGTCAGAGGACTGACTGCACACACAGCTGTGCTCATCACCACAGTATGACACAGTGGTGATGTCATATGACCGTGTGGATCAGCTGGGCACGATGCAGCTCGCTGTAACAACCAGAACCTGCTGAGTACTTTCATCACTTATTATCCACCACATTCTGTATCAAGACTTTGAATGCGTACATGAATGCAGTGCAGGATAATGCACAATACACGCAGTGAACAATCAGGTAACACGCAGGTGAAGAACAATGTAACTATATGAGCGCAGCAGGTGAGTAATCCAAACAAGCTCTTATTGTGAAGGTCTGAGCGGAAGTGTGTGAACTGACAGGTTGAAGGAGGAAAAGTCGGCGGTGATCCGCGGCCCTCTCCGCCAGCCTCCGAGCTCCTGTGAGCGGCCTCGGCAACAGCAGAGAGCCGCTGAGAGGAACCAGAGGACCGTGGAGAGACACGGACACAGGACCGAGGAGCCGGTACCGGTACCGAGCGTTTAAACTGCACCTACCGTGTCTGACGATCCGCCTCACTCTGCTGACAGCCACACAACACGGAAATAAGGAAGCGCGGAGCTAACTGCGCATGCGCTCAGGAGAAAGGGAGGGGGGTGAGGGCAGGGAGAGACACACACAGATACACACACACACACACACAGACACACGCAGATACACACACACACACACACAGACACACACAGATACACACACACACACACAGACACACACAGATACACACACACACACACAGACACACGCAGATACAGATACACACACACACACACACACGCACACACAATACACACACACATACACAGATACAGATACACACACTCACAGATACACACACAGACACACGCAGACACACAGACACACACACATACACAGATACAGATACACACACTCACAGATACACACACAGACACACGCAGACACACAGACACACACACAGACACACACACACAAACACACACACAGACACACAGAGACTAAAAAAAAGAAAAAGACTACTAAAAAAGAGGCTGGATCATGGGGAGTACCACCAGTTGGTCCAGGAGCTTCTCCTCCATCATGGACGTTTACAGGCAGATTTTAGGACGACTCAGGGGCAGTTTGACAACCTGCTGTCTATCATCAGGCCGTATAGCTCTGAGTATCCATGAGCCATACCATGAGTTTCTCCTCCAGTGTTTACCAACTGTACTAGGGTTGGGACTCGTTAGGATTTTAACGATTCCAGTTCCTTACTGATTCCTCTTACCGATTCCTACATTATATTCATTATACTTGCTATACTTAAACAAGTATATAATAAACACAAATGCAATCATACAAATACAAAAACTTTATTCTAACTGTTGGACAGTACAATTAGATGAAAATACACATTTGTGTGTGGTGTGTATTTCAGATTTAGAGCTTGTATCATCTCCCTGACAATATATAACAACAAAGAGTGATTCTCTGATTTCTACAGTAACACTATTACCTCAAATTAACCACAGCAATGTAATAAAAAATACTTAAATGCATTCATGCTTGGGTACTGTTATTTACGTGACAACACCTGAACATAACACACTTTCTACCGCTCCCCTCACTGGAAGTCTCGGAACTCCCATCGCCCGCCTCCGCCTTGATTAAACGCTGAAAATTAAATAAAAGAGGGAGACAGGTTTTTTCCTATTTTATCTTATTTTGTTATATTTCTCCCTCTCCTCTCGCTAGAAGCCTGGGACCTCCCGCCGAGAATATGCGGCCCGTGCCGTGCTCTAATGGAAATGCATGTGACGGTTTTTCTTTACAATCTAGGAACCTTTTGCAGGAACTGTTACTCCAAATGTGATGGAACCGGTTCCGGAACTGGATCTTTGGACCCTGTTCCAAAAAAGAACCGGATCCAGATCCCAACCCTAAACTGTACACTTGTTGTCGTGACCACCACAGAAGGCCCCCCTCTCAAATCATCGAATTGGACAATGGGAAAAAAGTGGGAAAATTGCTTCAGACAAAGGACTCGTCTCTGTACTTGTTTTATTAGATCTTAGTGCGGCGTTTGACACAATTGACCATCAAATTCTACTGCAGAGACTGGATCACTTAATTGGCCTAAAAGGTTCTGCACTAAGCTGGTTTAAATCTTATTTATCTGATCGTTTTCAGTTTGTTGACGTTCATAATGAGTCATCCTTACGTACCAAAGTTTGTTTTGGAGTTCCGCAAGGTTCTGTACTCAGACCAATCCTATTTACTCTATATATGCTTCCTTTAGGCAACATCATTAGAAATCACTCTATAAATTTCCATTGTTATGCAGATGATACACAGTTGTATTTATCTATGAAGCCAGAAGAAAGTAATCAATTAACTAAACTCCATAACTGCCTTAAAGACATAAAAACTTGGATGAGCACCAATTTCCTGATGTTAAATTCAGACAAAACTGAAGTTATTGTTCTTGGCCCCAAACAACTCAGAGACTCTTTATCTGATGACATAGTTTCTCTAGATGGCATTGCTCTGGCCTCTAGCACTACCGTAAGAAACCTCGGAGTAATATTTGATCAAGATTTGTCTTTTAATTCTCATTTAAAACAAACCTCACGGACTGCATTTTTTCATCTGCGTAATATTGTGAAAATTAGGCCTATCCTGACCCGAAAAGATGCAGAAAAATTGGTCCACGCTTTTGTTACCTCAAGGCTGGATTACTGTAACTCTCTATTATCAGGTAGCTCTAGTAAGTCCTTAAAAACTCTCCAGCTAATTCAGAATGCAGCAGCACGTGTACTAACAGGAACTAAGAAACTAGATCATATTTCTCCTGTTTTAGCTTCTCTGCACTGGCTCCCTGTAAAATCCAGAATTGAATTTAAAATCCTACTGTTAACTTATAAAGCTCTAAATGGTCAAGCTCCGTCATATCTTAGAGAGCTCATAGTGCCATATTATCCCACCAGAACACTGCGCTCTGAGAACGCAGGGTTACTCGTGGTCCCTAAAGTCTCCAAAAGTAGATCAGGAGCCAGAGCCTTCAGCTATCAGGCTCCTCTCCTGTGGAATCATCTTCCTGTTACGGTCCGGGAGGCAGACACCGTCTCCACATTTAAGACTAGACTTAAGACTTTCCTCTTTGATAAAGCTTATAGTTAGGGCTGGCTCAGGCTTGCCCTGTACCAGCCCCTAGTTAGGCTGACTTAGGCCTAGTCTGCCGGAGGACCCCCCTATAATACACCGGGCACCTTCTCTCCTTCTCTCTCTCTCTCTCTCTCTCTCTGTCTCTCTCTCTCTCTCTCTCTCTCTCTCTCGTATTCTATTACTGCATCTTGCTAACTCGGCCATTCTGGATGTCACTAACTCGGCTTCTTCTCCGGAGCCTTTGTGCTCCACTGTCTCTCAGATTAACTCATATCACAGCGGTGCCTGGACAGCGTGACGTGTGTGGTTGTGCTGCTGCCGTGGTCCTGCCAGATGCCTCCTGCTGCTGCTGCCATCATTAGTCATTAGTCATACTTCTACTGTTATTATACACATATGACTATTGTCACACATGTATACTGCCAGATATTAATACATACTTTCATCATATTGTACCACAGTAGCCAGAACTATAACTATAATATTATTACTTTCAATAATGTTGTTGTAAGCTACTGTCATGATGTCGTTATTTGAAAGCATGCCATTATGACATGGAACTATTTGAATATACTGTCTCAGTCTCTGTGCTAAGCTAAGCAGGTGGGGGACAAACAGCTGATGGAGAACTTCTCCAGCACTCCCAGTCTAAGCTGGTGTCCAGCTGCTGGTCTAAACTGGGAGCCCCTCCTCTCTCTGTGGCCCCTCCTATCTCCTGCCCCCTCCGTCTCTCCACACAGACAAGAAGCAGCCGGACGGATCAGAGGTGAGTTTGTTTCTTCTCTTTATGTCTCTATTGATCACAGAAACACATTGATAACATATTGATAACATATTGATAACATAGTGCACTGATGGTGCTGATGGCAGAGATGGATCGGTGGAGATAAACACGAGTCCAGCAGTGACTCAGACTCTGAGGGACCTGTTCTGTTCTGGTTTCTATGGATCTGTGATCAGATTCAAATCATCAGATCCACAAACATCTTCATTGTCTTAATGACAGAGTTTGAGCTCGAACTATTGATATTCACCATCAATAAATCTGATCATCATTTCCTTTGATGGTATCTTCAGACCTCTGGTCCACTGACAGTTTGAAAACTGGAACCGGCAAATATTACCTGAACAATTACTGGATTATAGTTGCCAAAGTTTTCTGCTGATTGATTGATTATTGCAGCTTCAGATCCAATCAGAAACTTCTGAAGGATCTGACAGATTTCACACCGACTGTGATTCACAGTGAGTCAGAACAGATCCAGTCAGGTGTCATCTGTGCCAGATCTGGTCTGAGTCCGTAACGCTTTCCTGTTCTGGATCACCGAGTCTCTGGACTGAGCTCATGAAAACGTGACGATGATTTTTCTTCTTAAATCAAACTGATGAAAACTCTGTTGACAGCAGCAGCTTCTGTGGAAGACTCCATGACTTTTAATGACCCATAAAATAAAGAAAGAGTTGACAGAATAAAATTTACAAGTTGTGGACCTATGAAATAAAGAAGTACACTGTCAGACTCAGCCCATTTGCAGCACAGTGTCGGCTGACTCAGCCATGTTCTGGCTCCGTGGTGCCAAATGTGAGCTGGCCGTGTACTTTTGCCAGATCTGCCGCAGATTTAGGTGTTACAGCCACAGGCCATTTTGGGCTGAGACACGGCAGTTCGAAGAAACTGCGGCCAGCACTAAAATGTGTTCTGGCCCGTTGATGGGTACCAAATCTGGGCCTTATGGGGCGTCGTAGACACGGGCTTTTCCTGGCTGAGACACAGCTGCCGGAATCAGGCCGGTTTATTTGGCCTGACTTTGGGGCATCATTCCTCCCAAGTCTCAGCCGAGCCCGACTTAATTCTTCTGACGTGCAGAGTTTGGGCCGATGCTGGGCCGGGTGATTTTGGCTGTAAACAAATAACTAAAAACAAAGATGAACAAACACGACCAGTTAAACTAAAAAGGACAATTAACAACAATTAATAAACACAAACTAACTATTGTTGCAGTGTGTTGCTGCTGTGTCAATCTGTGAAGAGTCGGTCATGTGATGCTCAGATCTCATTCAAGATTGGAGATTTGTTGATTTCCATCTGTTCTGATGAACCTGAAACCAGTTTGACCAGTCTGAACCAGTTCACTGAGAGACCTGAACTGGACTCAAACACCAGCTGATATTCAAAGTATCTGTTTATGGTCATCACACTCAGGACTTTGAGGAGCACCTCCACACTGGATCTGGATTCAACTTCAAACCAACAGATATGAGACAAGATCCCAAAATGATCCAGAATTTAATCAAAACTCGACTCAAACTCAACGTTTACCTCAACTTTCAGTAACTAAAACAAAAATCTGACGTGAACCCAAAGTTAAATCCAACAAATGAGCAGCGAGTTAAAGTCAAGCGTGCAGGAGGAATAACCAGGTCAGATTACTGTCTGAGGACCTGAGTGAAAACACTTAGCTCTGACTGAGCTCTGATTGGCTCACACCATCCATTTCCTCCTAATGGAAACACTGCCTGCACACCCCACTCTGTCCTCCCCTGGGAACCAAAACCATTAGACAGAGGTTCCCCTCAACACACACACACTCTGATCAATACACTGAAAGAGGCTGACTTCCTCTCAAACACACACACGATCAATATTTAATGTCAGCTCAGCTTCGTCTCTCCAACAGCCGCAAAACAAAATTCAACTTTCACACCTTCAATAGACAAACGTCAGCTTTTCAAAGAGTCGGACAGATTGAATGTCTGTTAGCTTCTGTTAGCTTCTGTTAGCTGCTGTAAGCTTCTGTTAGCTTCTGTTAGCTACTGTTAGCTTCTGTTAGCTACTGTTAGCTTCTGTTAGCTACTGTTAGCTTCTGTTAGCTGCTGTTGGCTTCACGTTTCCAACAACCACAAAATCTGAATAAACGAACCCTTATAATATTTAGCTTTCACACCTGTAATAAATTAGGCTGACCAAACGTCCTCTTTTGCCCGGACATGTCCACTTTTCACGTCCCGTCCGGGGCGTCTGGGGGGTTTTTATAAACTGATGATAATGTCCGGTTTTCCGTGTGTGTGTGTTAGAGTGCGGCACGGGCCGCATATTTCTGTACGAACCCGAACCGAGCCCGACATTATTTAATGACCAAAGCACTGAGTTTGTCACACAGTGGTTACAGGCTATTTAACAGGCCGGGCGTGCTAAGGGGAGAGGGAGACCTCCGTGTTTGAGACGGGAGCGGGAGGCGGGAGGTCCGATGGTTCCAGCGAGAGGAGAGGGAGAAATAAAACAAAATAAGATAAAATAGGAAAAACCTGTCGCCCTCTTTTATTTTATTTTCAGCGTAATCAAGGCGGAGGCGGGCGGCTGGAAGTCCGAGACTTCCAGCGAGGGGAGAGATAGAAACAAACAGCCAATGTGTGTGTGTGTGTGTGTTATGTTCAGGTGTTGTCACGTAAATAACAGTGCCCAAGCAATAAACAGGACAGACAATAGGATTTTATTTATTTTTACACTACATTTTCACTGAAAGCTGACCGAATCCGACCCGAGCCCGAATACAATTTATAGCTACATTTCTGACCAAACCCGGCCCAACCCATCGGGTACCGTCGGGCTCGGATCGTCACACTCTAGTGTGTGTGTATGTGAGGCCTATCTGAATTTCTGTCTTTGAGAGAGATTATTTTGTAATATAACTGAATTTTCTATCCATACATATAAATTTTAAATATATTAAAATTATAAGGCATCTTTGAGTAAACTGCGAGTATCATTTAAGTAGGCTATGTCGTGGCCGGCCGAGTGTCCTCTTTTTTGGAAATCAAAATATGGTCACCCTATAATAAATAATTCAATGTTTCAAAGAGTTGGATGGATTTCATGTCAAGAGATTTATAGTGGGTCTGCTGTTAGTTTCTGTTAGCTCCTGTTAGCTGCTGTTAGCTTCTGTTAGCTGCTGTTAGCTGCTGATAGCTTCTGTTAGCTCCTGTTAGCTGCTGCTGTTAGCTCCTGTTAGCTGCTGTTAGCTCCTGTTAGCTGTTGTTAGCTTCTGTTAGCTGCTGTTAGCTGCTGATAGCTTCTGTTAGTTCCTGTTAGCTCATGTTAGCTGCTGCTGTTAGCTTCTGTTAGCTGCTGTTAGCTCCTGTTAGCTCCTGTTAGCTGCTGTTAGCTCCTGTTAGCTTCTGTTAGCTGCTGCTGTTAGCTTCTGTTAGCTGCTGTTAGCTGCTGATATCCTCTGTTAGCTGCTGTTAGCTCCTGTTAGCTGCTGCTGTTAGCTTCTGTTAGCTGCTGTTAGCTCCTGTTAGCTGCTGTTAGCAGTTTAACTCAAGCTTAAATAAACCCATAAACAGTGAAACTGTAGTCAGTGGGTTCTGAGTGGCTGAGCGGACCTATTTCCTTTTTTCTCCGCAGGATGTTGTCATCACCACCTTCTACCTCCCTCCCCATCTCTGCCCACCCTCGACCCCCTCGGACAGTGACCTCTGACCCCCGCCACGTCACCATGGAAACCTACTGGAGAGAAGTGCGGAGCATTGAGGAGGAGAAAGAGGGAGAGGAAGAGGAGGATGAGGAGGAGAGGAAGAGTATGGATGGTGAGTTAAACTGACAGCAGAGTGAGACATCGACTTTCTGTCTGACTCATACCCGTCTTTGTTTACCTGTAGAGGTGGAGCTGGAGGAGGCGTGGCTGAAGGAGGCAGGGTTATCCTCACTGGTGACCGACTTGTTGTCAGAAGAGGCGCCGCCACCGGCCGAGGCGCTGCTGTCCACACTGACACGGCAACAAGCCGCCACGGTGAGAAAGAGGCTGGACAACTACAATGAGACACTGAAGACCAGAAACAGGCAGCCAATCAGAGACGTGCGGGACATCTTCACTGAGGTGGGTACAAACATACTCAGTCAGACAGTATCATGACCCTCCCCTTTTTTCATGAGTTGCAGCCACAGGATACGGTCACACATGAGCCGAAAATTCAAAATGTTTTAGTCGACGAAAAATAAAAATATTTTAGTCAATGAAAAATGAAAAACATTTACGTCGACATCGAGTCATAATGTTCTCTATATGTTGCTAAGATGAAGGAAAAGCTCCGTAGACTGATGCCTTGATAATTCAGTGATGCCTTCGGGTCATCTTTTGAGGATTTGGATTTGGAGTTATAATTGATCTAAACCAAACAGAGGGCACAAAACTATAATCAAAACATGTTTTCAGAAAACATACAAAGAATCAAACAATTTGGAAGATTTCAACACTTTGTTTCAGTTGACGAAAAACAGGCAACTCATCCGTACCAAAGACTTTTTTAACTTGACGTCATCTTGACCCAGGTCTCTATTTAAAACTTTCATCACTGTGAAGGTAGTACATGTTCATAAAATTCATCATCAGAATGTCGTACTGTCTTGAGAAGAGACCAGAAAATGATCTCTTCCATTCTAGTCATAGTTGCCCCCGCCTGAAGAGTCTAATGTCAATTAAAGCTGCAAGCAGCAATGGACGGGCCCTCACACCTCTGGCACCTCTGGCACCTCTGGCACTGGCGGAACGCCAGCTGACCCGCTTGTTTATTTCCCTGAAAGTCTGATATGCAGGAGTGACATGGTATTTTTTGCATAGGCTGTGGATACTGAAATGACCTATTTCAGATTTTGTAGCACTTTCTGTGCCCACTACGTGGCGCTGGTGAGCACAGAAAATGCACTTCATGTTCCTGTATATCAGTTGTAGACCAAACCATGTGAATTTCATGTAAATCAGATGATAATTGTCTGACAATACTTACTTCCTGTTGCCAGTAGGTGGCGCAGAGACTTTAATGAGTAATTGACATGCTGATGCCTTCAGGCCTGGAGTCTTACCAAACATGAAATCTGGGGCAGACTGGCCAAAGTTCATTCAAGTTACAACAACTTCCTGTTTCATAGCAAATACTGCGTTGCCATATCGATGGCATTTGATAAAAATCTTGTCTGGATGGCATCATAAATGTCTCAAGGCTTGTCTGACCACATTTAAGGTCAGATTGGACAATGTATGCGCAAGTTACAGCAACTGCAAAATGGCCGCCATTCCACAACAACGCCATTTGACAAAAACTCAGTCTTCATAACTGAAGCATCATTCTTGAGGCTTTTGAAAACAAAGACGAGGTGCATCTGGCCAGCCTACTAAGAGATGTAAATCAAAGTACAAAACATGTCATTTCCTGTTGCCAGTAGGGGGCGCTACAATTTTAAATAATTATTGACATATAGACGTGTTCAGGGAAAAACTGTCATAGACCTCTGAAGTCTGGGGCAGAGTGGACCATGTACCTTTCAGTTACAAACCACTTCCTGTTTGATGGCGAACCATGGAAGTTTGACACCTCGCTACGGTCACACGGTTTGACGAAAACTCAAGCTTTTAAAAGCTTTTCATTTTGAAGGTCTTTAAATGAAACAGAGCAAATTTGAAGAATATAATACTTTTATAGAAGGGGTTTGTTAAAGCACAACTCCTGTAAATGGCACAAAAATTACACATTTAATTCAAAATGGCCAACTTCCCGTTGGGTTTAGGGAATGGCTCCAAAAGAATTTTTTGTGCACCTTGGGTTGCTTTGTAGAAATTGTGTAGGAGGCGTTACTGAGCCATTTTTGGCATCTGAGCAGGGGACCCATAAAATATCAAATTTTTCACTAGCTGTGGCATGAGTGCAGCATTTCATGACTTTTTCCAACACCTTTAGCTCCTCAAACATGAGATTCATTTGAAAGAAAAATAATAATTCCACTTTCGACAGGGTCCTCGCACCGTCTGGTGCTCGGGCCCTAACAAGGTGTCATGTCTTTGCACAATTTTGAGACAGTAGCGGTGCTTACGTTACTCAACGCTATCAGCCTAACATTATGTTTTGACTATGTGCCATATCACGCCGGGATTTACACACAGTGGAAGCAGAGGACTACAGGTCCTTGGAGGCTCACAACATTTTTACCAGTGGCTGAACAACCTAACACTGTTTGGATGGAGGAAACTAACATTAGATCCTTTTCCTTTAACCAGTAACTGCCCCGAAATCGCTAATGCCAAACCTACCAGATTCCATTTAAATAAACAGTCATGTTAGTGTGTATAGAGGCAGCATGTTGTCACAGCTAACTGGTGAATTAAGGGTTAATTTCAACCAAACCAGAGTTGGTGACTGTTGGAACAGTGGAGAGATGAACCAAGATGGTTTCTGTGAGTTTTATTTTGTTTCAAACGACTTTGAATGAAGTGTGTTTAATGACGATAAAAATGACTTTATTTAAATGGATTCTGGTGGGTTTGGTGATTTCAGGGCTGTTTCTGGTTAAACAAAAAGGATCTGACTCTTTAACACAAAGTTCTATCTCTGTAGGGATCCTTTCATAATATTGTCAGACACTTAGAATAATAATCTGAGCCTGTCAGTGACAGAAACACTTGTAGTGGATGGACACTGACGGTGTGTTCATGCCCCGAGTGGTTACACACTGCAGCCTGTTTCACTGCTGCAACCTCAGAAATTTGCAACTTCATATCATGTCCAGTTCAACTTTGGTGAACTTCTGACCGGCCAAGTCACTGCCTCAACCAATAGCAAAGAAGTATGTGTAGAGGTGACAATGATTGTTGGCATGTCTAACCAGCTGATACTGTCCATGAAACATACAAACCGCCCCAAATGAGAGACACTGCTTTGCTGCAGTGAATCTGCAGGCCAGTATGAAAGCTAAGGAAATAAAAATGTACCAATTTCATCATATTTCAAGCTAGCCTTTCATTTGCATCACACCTGACACTGTCCACATTCAGCTTTGATGTCACCTCAGCGGGCAATGGTCACTCAGTCCTCACTGCACTCCATGATAAAGATTAAACTGGACTTTAGAAAAAGAAAAACTGAACTATCACAGACTGAGGTAGTCAGAACCTTTTTTGGTAGTGACTACGACATGACCAAGTTTGCCCTCCTGGATTTTGGAGATTTTCTGTCATCCTTCTTTGCAGATCTTCTCAAGCTCCAGCAGGTTGGATGGGGACCGGCAGAGGGTTGATGTTTGATTGGGTTCAAGTCAGGGTCCTGGCAGGGCCACTTGGGGACACTCACAGAGTTGTTCCTGAGCCACTCCTGCGTTGACTCAGCTGTGTGCTGAGGGTCATTGCCTTGATGGAAGCTGAACCTTCGACTCGGTCTGAGGTACTGAGTGCTTTGGACAAGGTTTCCATTGAGGCTCTCTTTGTACTCTGCTACGTTATTTTTTCTCAGCCCTGACCAGACCAAATACCCCTCCACTGTGGCAATGGCACTCCTCAATGGTAGTGCTACCTCAGCAGGACAAAGTGCCATGCCACATGGCAAAAATTGCTCAGGAATGGCCCTAGGAATGTGACAAAGATCCCAGGCTGATCGAGCATCTGTGGGACATGGCGGTATCCCCGATCCATGGTGGGGCCTCCTTAGAACTGATTTGGCTCTGACCTCTTAAGGCCTGGACACAGGACCTCTGGGGGTGTCTGGTTCCAGGGCACTGCCGGCAGATCCTGTGAGTCCTTTGGGTTGGGAGGTGGAGTACCAGCACGTCCCACAGATGCTTGATCAGACTGGCAGACTGTCCCCAGGACAGGAAGATGGTCTGGAACTCTTGTCAACTCTTTGTCAAAAACACCTTGAACAAAACCACCAATGTCTCAAAAACACCGAAGAAAAATGCTTTACTGGCAGAATCTGATGTGGTAGAGTTTATTGTTGTAAGACAGTAACATCAATAAACCTGAGTCAGACTCGAAGCTCCGACTGGTGTGTCTGGCAAAAAAGCAGCTTCTTATATATCCTGGAAAACTGATAAAGTTTTCCCCAAGTCTTAGCCCTGTTTTTAATATCTGTGTGTGGAGGCTCTATCTCTAAACACAGCACTTGAAATGAATTCTGGGAATTGTTGGAACAGTTGAAACAGACTGTAATGAATCAGTGTTTTCTCTTTCACACTGTTCCAGCCTGATGAAGACTCAGTAGAACGATGCCCCTCCCCGCCCTCTCACCGCGCCGAGTCACCACCAAGTCGATACCACACCACCACCAAAACCATCCACCGAAACACTCATAAAGGTGCCTGTCTGTCTGTCTGCTCATGGCCGAGCACTGGTCTGTTATGTCCTTCAGGGTTCAAGTGTTCCTTGAGGTTCTTGGTACTCTGTCCTCTACCTGCTCAGGTACTCTGTCCTCTACCTGCTCAGGTACTCTGTCCTCTACCTGCTCAGGTACTCTGTCCTCTACCTGCTCAGGTACTCTGTCCTCTACCTGCTCAGGTACTCTGTCCTCTACCTGCTCAGGTACTCTGTCCTCTACCTGCTCAGGTACTCTGTCCTCTACCTGCTCAGGTACTCTGTCCTCTACCTGCTCAGGTACTCTGTCCTCTACCTGCTCAGGTACTCTGTCCTCTACCTGCTCAGGTACTCTGTCCTCTACCTGCTCAGGTACTCTGTCCTCTACCTGCTCAGGTACTCTGTCCTCTACCTGCTCAGGTACTCTGTCCTCTACCTGCTCAGGTACTCTGTCCTCTACCTGCTCAGGTACTCTGTCCTCTACCTGCTCAGGTACTCTGTCCTCTACCTGCTCAGGTACTCTGTCCTCTACCTGCTCAGGTACTCTGTCCTCTACCTGCTCAGGTACTCTGTCCTCTACCTGCTCAGGTACTCTGTCCTCTACCTGCTCAGGTACTCTGTACTCTACCTGCTCAGGTACTCTGTACTCTACCTGCTCAGGTACTCTGTCCTCTACCTGCTCAGGTACTCTGCACTCTACCTGCTCAGGTACTCTGTCCTCTACCTGCTCAGGTACTCTGCACTCTACCTGCTCAGGTACTCTGTACTCTACCTGCTCAGGTACTCTGTCCTCTACCTGCTCAGGTACTCTGCACTCTACCTGCTCAGGTACTCTGCACTCTACCTGCTCAGGTACTCTGTACTCTACCTGCTCAGGTACTCTGCACTCTACCTGCTCAGGTACTCTGCACTCTACCTGCTCAGGTACTCTGCACTCTACCTGCTCAGGTACTCTGTACTCTACCTGCTCAGGTACTCTGCACTCTACCTGCTCAGGTACTCTGTCCTCTACCTGCTCAGGTACTCTGCACTCTACCTGCTCAGGTACTCTGTCCTCTACCTGCTCAGGTACTCTGTCCTCTACCTGCTCAGGTACTCTGTACAGACACAGTCAGAGACCAGCTGGTGGACATAATGGGACATCCAGCAGCGACAGAGACAGATATTTGTGGTGGAGTTGGTGGAGACCAAAATCAGAGCTAACAGAGAGAAGACTGGACTGACACCTGTCAGGTGACACAAACACAAAGACTCCTGATGACTCATCATGTTGATCTGTAACTGTTCACTGTTTGTTTCCAGTTCGACCAGCTCTTCCTGCCTTTGTCTTTGAGGATCACCTCCCCGAACACCCGTCATCCCCCCAAAACACACACTCTCCCACAGACACACACTCACAGACACACACACACTCTCCACCTGTCAATTGGTCGAGACAAGCTGATTGGCTGCTCCGGGACTGTCCATACTCAGAGGGCGTGGCTGAGCATAAACGGGGTGGGACTTGTTGGGACTGCCTTCGTTTCCATGGAGACGACAGTGACCTGCCGGTGAGTCAGAACTGTTATTGGCTACTGGAGGAATTAGGAATCAAGTTTTATTCTGCAGGTTGATGAATAAACATCATACAGTGATGAGTTCACCTGTCCGTCGTCACAGTCGTATTGTTTACTCTTTGTTTACAGTCTCATGTTTTAGTTTGTGTTGACGACATGAAACAGTCTGTGTGTGATTGCGTGTGTGTATGTGTGTGTGTGTGTGTGTAGTTTGTACCTGTCTCTCCCTCTCAGGGTCTTACCTCAGCAGACGACCTGTCATCATGTGACCTCACCCGCCTTGGCTTCATCTCTCACATCGAGCTCTCCACCTTCCTGCTCGCTCTGGGAGTCCAAACCAAACGCACCCGCCCACCACGTCGCAGGACCCAGGGTGCACTTCATTTTTACATCCCGGTTTGAACGCAGGTTTCAGACAAACCGCAGATAGCACACAGCAGAGGGGTCTGAGGTTAAAGCAATGAGATGTCAGAAAGATATGACAGCTGACTGAGCACAAGATCATCGTTAAAGATTAATTATAGGTCACTGCTACAACGCCAGCAGTGGTTGTTTACAGGATGTTACTGGGGTTTCAGGGAGGTCATTAACCAGCAATACACTGTTGTTGTTGTTGCAGTTATGAATGAATGATTTACTTAAGACTATGTGGAGGCAACAGTGACAGTTTTCTCATTCAAGTTTTGCATGTCTGTCTGTCTGTCAGACTGCGGTGTGTTCGCTGTTCCTCTGAGGTTGTTGTTGGAAAACGACAGAAAGAAGTTTCCTGGAGTCAAAGTTCCTGTCGTCTTCCAGAAGGTGAGGTCTCTGTCTGTCTGTCTGTCTGTCTGTCTGTGGAGACAGGTGTTTTACTGAAGTTACAGTCGTAACACAATAATGTAAAAAATACTGTCAATAGTCAAAGTTCTTCATTAAAGGGTTGGTAAATAAAGACAGGAGGACAAACAGACACTAAGGAGACGGTCGGGAACAGGTCAGTTAGGAGGAGCAGGTCCAGGTCCAGGTCCAGATTCAGGTTCAGGTCCAGAGGACTGGAAAGCAAAGACTAAGGGAGCGATCACACAGAGATAAAACGCTAGAAGCGCGACACCAGTAAAACCATTGTTTTCCTAGGATATGGCGCATCTGACCGGCGTTGAAGCGTCTTTTTAGACGCGCGTAGACGCTGAAAACTTAAAATATTTTCAACTTTTTGAGCGACAGACGCCAGTAGCTAGCATGCGTTGCTTCCAGCGTTTCAAGTGTCTTTGAAGCGTCCACATCTCATTTCTGTGTGATCGCCCCCTAAAGTGAGGCTGACAGTCAGGCAGAGATCAGCGGGGCTGATGAGGGAAGGTCAAAACAGGTGAGCAGGTGACTGGGACAGGTAAACAGTCTGAGGACACCTGGTGGACAGATGGAGGATGACCCTGCAGGAGGCTGAGTGGACAGACTGAGGCATTACAGAACACTCCATATGATATTATTGTACCATAATAGATTAACACTGCGGGGTAGATTCATCTTTAATAATACATCATGGTTTATTATTGATCATATTCTGTATTAATAACCTGTTTCTGAGATGCAGAGGTATGGCGTACAGTGTCCTCCACGTTCTCTCAGCTGTCTTTTAGCTTTCTGCAGAGCTAGCGTGCTAACAGCTGAACATTCCTGAGGGGTTAGCATTTAGCACGAAGCTAACAGCTGACAGAGTTAAATTTATCAAAGTTTCATTTAGATCAGATCAGCTGCTGCTGACTGACCTCAGAGCAGCTGGTCCTGTGATGCTGTTCGGCCTGAGCGTCCGAGGCTTCAGCCCTGAATGTTTTATGAACAGTCCTGGAACTCGATAGGATGTATTTTCATTCTTAACAAAAAGGAAAAGGCCTAATAATAATGATAATAATAATAAAAGCCCTGGGTCGAATTATTTGTGTTTTTTCATACATGCATTAAAGCCCTCAATAAATAAATTAAACCTGAATCACCACCTCGTGGTCGTACGCCTCCGTCAACCTGTCAGTGAAAACATGGATGCTTCACACACAGAAGATCTATACAATCAGCACAGTTTCAAGTTTATAGTCACCAATTCAGTATCTGACCAAATGTCTCCCCTTCTGTTCCTGAGATATGATGTTAAAACATGATGATGTCACAGTCAAGCTGACCTTTGACCTTTTGACCTTCATTATTTTATCCTGTTAGACATTTGTGTCAAGTTTGGTCAGAATTAGTGAATGAACTCTTCAGTTATGGACAAAAACATGTTTTGTGAGGTCACACTGATCTTTGACCTCTGACCACACAATTCTAATCAGATTATCCTTCAGTCCAGTTGGACGTTTGTGTCAAATTTAAAGAAATTCCTTCACTGTGTTTTTGAGATATCATGTTCACCAGAATGAGACAGGTGCAGGGTCACACTGACATTGACCTTTGACCTCCAAAATCTAATTATTTCATAGTTCAGTTTCATAGTTTGTGCCAAACTTAAAAAAATGTTCCCAAGAGTACAATGGACAGGATGACAGTGACCTTTGACCACTGAATTCTAATCAGCTTAGTTTTGGGTCCACATGGACATTTGTGCAAAATTTGAGAAAATACCCCCAGGCGTTCTTTAGATATCGTGTTCGAGAGAATGAGACGGATGTAAGGTCACAGTGACCTCTGAACACCAAAACTGAATCTAGGGCTGCGGCTATTGATTCTTTTAGTAATGTCACAGATTTGCTGTCACAAATAACCAGTGTTCGGCAGCAGCTTCACCACAAGTAGTAGTCCGACTCCGCTCACTGACCCTCTGACTGACTGATAAAGTTATCTGAAGGTCTCTTTACGCCCGGATGTCAAACTTTGGATTTATAAAGGATCACTTGCACTTAAATCTCCGTCACTGTGGAGCTGGGCGCACGTGCACAATCTTTGTTTACTCTCCCACAGTGAGACATAAATTGAGGCGCTAACACCCTTTAATCAGTTTACATATCGATATCTGCGCCCGTTCCACTGCTCATCAGACCTGTCGACAGAACAGCTGTCATTACCGCGACCATTACACACAGCTTCAGTTGTTCATTTTGGTTGGAATGAAAATCAGGTTGACGATGTTTTCCATGTCTAATTACAGTCGGTGTCACGGTAGTTGATGAGGTGGTTTAAGTGTTGGAGGAAACGGGTTTGACCTCATATGTTCCCGCAGCTGTTTGTTTTAAACTGTTAACAACCAGAAAAAAGAGGTGGAAACACCTCCGTTACCTGCGTATACCCTCCACTACACCACTGCTATCAACATTAGAATTTAACATTGTGTGGACGTCAGCAATATGACGTCTGTACCTTACGACCAAACGTTATTCTATGTCAAGATGATGATAGCATAAGACATCTGAAAAATTCTGGATTTTTATCAGATTGACAATATTTCAATTGTCTAATGGGTTTTGCTCTCCGTACCTCACGACGAAATGGTTTTTTTCTACGTTAAACGATGTTGGTGCAGTGTGTTACCGAGGGTCCTCACAAGTGTACAAAAACAAACCTGTGTGTGTGTGTGTGTGTGTATGTGTGTGTAGTTGTTGTGTATTTTAGAGCAGACTGGCCTGCAGACTGAAGGGATTCTCAGAGTGCCAGCATCAGCCGCCAGACTCAAGGTAACACACACACACACACACACACACTGAGATCTGTTAAACATCCACACTAATGCTTACAGAATGATTGTGAACACCTGTCTGTCTGTCTGTCTGTCTTCAGTACCTGCGTAGAGAGTTAGACAGGTGTTGTGGAGGGTTCGACTGGTCTGCAGTGAGACAGGTGGACGCCGCAGGTCTGCTGAAGCTTTTCATCAGAGAGCTGCCAACACCTCTGCTGACACACACACACCTGTCCACCTACCGCTCTGTGCTGGGTACACACACACACACAGTCATAAACAGACATTGTGGGGACCTGTTCTTTGTCCCCATAAGGTCGGTGAGTCCCCACATCCTCAGTAAGGCTTCTGCCACTTTACGTGAGGGTTACATGAAGCACGGTATTTAAAGCTCCTCCTCCTCCAGTCAGTTCTACTTCCTGTTTATCAGCTGACGCTCTCTCAAACACAGATTGGTGGGTGTGTTTAACAGTCAGACATGACCCATTACCATGGCAACATGATAGCAGTTACAGTAGCTTGGGAACCAGCAACATGTCTCTTACTCAGAGGATTTTTTGTCAGAGCACAAATGAGACACATCTTAGTGTCGCTCTCTGTCTGGGCGCCGTTTGGCTGCCACTGACCCGACGAGCCGTACAGTTGCACGCCGGTCCCACTGGAAGGAAAGATGTGTTTCCAAGGTCTGCTGTTTGAAACAGAGTTATGGGAGGTTTTGGCGGTGCACCGTCCGGCAGCATCGGCCGCTCTCGCCTCAGCTCAGCACCAACATGACCTGCGCAGCACTTTTCATTTGTTTGTTGATCTAATGGCACTTTTTAACGCTTTAACGTTAAGCTGTGCGCTCCCACGGCTGAACCCGACTTAGAGTCAGATCATGAGGTTTAAAACTATTTTCCGATCATTTGTTGTTGTTTTTTCATACAGAGTTTTAAAGTTTGAACGGGGCTCAGCTTGACACTCATGTCACATAGTAAACAAGCTAACATTGGGGTTTTTCTTGACACTAGATATCAAACAGAAGCAGAGACGGTGTTGTATGAAGTATCTGTGAGCTCCTCAGAGGAGGACAGAAGACAAAGTTTCCTCGCAGCCTGACGATGAAAGTTTCTCCTCCTTTGTGTCGCCGTATCACATCCGTCTGTACCAAATGTCTGTACCTGATGATTCAAATCTCTGACTGTCAGTCCTCTGAACTTCCCAGCAGCGTTAGAGGCCTCTGTCACCACATTTCAAACAGCGGTCCTCAGCAACATGTCTATCCATCCTATAAATGCCATTATGATCATAAACATCACACCAAACTAAAAACAGAGAAGACCCTCAGTTAGCTAATGCAATAGGTGAGGCTAGCTACGTTAGCTAACTAACTCGAATGCCAAACTGACAGGCGGACAGACAAGTAAACAGACACACCCACACAGAGAGATAACTGAGGCTATATAGTTAAATAAAGTCAATAAGAACAACTGGCACTGTACCCAAACACAAATGAGGAGTTGTGTATTTTGTCTTTCTGCGGAGGCCAATCAAAGACGAGCTGGGTCACAGTTATTTTCATCACATGGACAGTACGTTTAAATATTGACTGACATTTAAAAAAATATTAAATGAAAAATATAAATAGGCCTACTCTTCCACTGACAGAAATGTGTAGTATTATAAACTCTGTGCTGCATGTTCTAAATAAGCCTGTCAGCGTTAACGACAGGTCCGAACATAACGCAATATTTCTTTATTTTATTCTTTAACCGATTCTGTTGAGCTGACGTCATGGCTCAGTCCTCAGTCCGTCTGTCAGAAACTCCTCTCCATCTACACTCTAAACCTTTTCTGCTCACAAACAATCTGCTGGACGGCGACCATGTTGGTTTCAGTACAGGAACACGTGACAGTTTGAGGTCACTTGTCACAACCAGTGAAGGCCTGTCCTGTTGTGTCTCTGCAGGTGTGTCCTCTGAGGTCCACCAGGTCCAGGCTCTGCAGCTGCTGTCCTTGTTGCTTCCAGAAGAGAACAGAGACACACTCAAAGTAAATCACAGTCACTTCATCACTGTGTTTGTGTCTCAGCCTGAAACCATCACAGCCTCAGCAGGCGTCACTCTCAGGACACAGGTTACAGGCGTAACCAGCTGGCCTCGAACATCGTGAGATATTTGGTAAATTTAGATTGTGACTTCAGGTGACCAAAATTCAATGTCAGGACGTCTGATGTTAGCGTCAATCTGGAGTAGAATATTAACGACAAATGATTAACCAAAACCCAACATCTTCCAAACATACTGATGCTAACATCCAAACAAAGTGAAATTCTAACATTGTTAAACATCTTAAGTTTTGTTGCCCCGATATTTATTGCAACCAAAATACGTCTTCCAAACGTCTCATGCTAACATCATCATGACGTAAAAAACATAATCTGCTCCTAGTAAAGGAATAAATACATTTAGTCAGTCTTTTCTTCTCAGTCTGTACTTCTACTCCATTACATCTGATGGCTTCAGTTACTAGTTACTTTACAAATTAAGATTCCTGCAAGTTCAGCTGGAGCGGAGCCGATTAATGAACTCACAGAAAAGTAAATCACTACTACTTTGATAATTATTTAAGTCATTTTAAATGCAAAAACATTTCATGGTTTCATCTTCACAAACAGGAACATTTTTATTTTGCTGATTTTGCTTTTTATTATTTCATAAGTTTAATGTATATTAGCAATAATAAAAAAAAAAACATTGTGAAGGTGTCACTTTGGGCTCTGAGGCACTGTGACGAACATTTCTTTCTATCAGTGTTAATCGCGACAGTTATTTTATATCTGGTCTCAGTGCGGAGACACGTTTTAGTCGTCGAAAATTCAAATCATATTGTTAAAAAAAAAAATCGAAATATTTCAGTCACCAAAAAAGAATCAAAATGTTTAGTTGAGGAAAATTCGAAATATGAGTGGAGTCCTGCGGGGTGAAGCTGTGAAGCTCTGAAGTCCGGTGGCCGCTGGCTGCGAGCGGAGCTAGCTGCTAACAGCCACCGCTGCAACTAACAAACTCCACAGATCCATTCAGCAGCTCCACCATCCACAGTCAGACACACACGGCTGATTATTTACTGCTGAATTACAGCTCACAACTCGCACCAACCCAAACATCCTGGTGCAGACTATTTACTGGAGTTTACAGCCTGTCGCTCATCAGGCATCTGAAGATCATTACAAGTTGTCAGTGTCCGACAGTCCACCACCAACATTTACATCACGTCTCATCAACAAAAATGAAACAGATTTCGTCTCAGTTTTTATTGTCAAGATCTATTTTTAGCTCGTCATCGTCTCATTTTCGTCATGGAAAAAAGGTCAGTAATTTTCTTTATAGTTTTCAGCAGGTCACACGTCACCTCACTCCAAAAAGAGAGTTCCTCTGGGCTCCACCTCCGGACCGCCTACGGTTGTGCGTCTCCTCCATCTACCTGGAGTTTTTGTGTCTCTATCTTCCACCTGAGATTCAGATGGTTACTGACGTGTTTCCATGGTTACAGGCTCTGCTGGTCTTCCTGCGTAAGGTAGTCTCTCACCAGGACCAGAACAGGATGTCTCTGTGGAACGTCTCCATGGTGATGGCACCCAACCTGTTCAACCGCCCTCACCGTGGCAACAAACGCTCCATCGCCAGGCAAAAGGAGGAGATGGAGGAGGCGGTGGGTGGAGCTCACCTGGTCCGACTGATGATCACACACCAGGACCTGCTGTGGACTGTGAGTCACAGGACACACACATGCACAGCCTCTGTGGCAACACCAGCTCAGGTTTCTGTGAAATCACATCCTGTTTTCTGTGGTAGGTCCCCAGCTTCCTGCTGTCTCAGGTGAGACAGATGAACCAGGCATCCAATCAGAAACGGTTCGGCCTGACCAGGGCAAAAAGACGGCTGCTGAGGAGGAAGAACGACAAGACTGAGAGGAACCAGGTGAGACAGAGACCAGAGAACCAGGTGAGAACCAGGTGATACAGATCAGACATCAGAGAACCTGGTGAAAACCAGATGAGACAAAGACCAGAGAACCAGGTGAGACAAAGATCAGAGAACCAGGTGAAACAGAGACCAGAGAACAGGTGAGACAGAGACCATAGAACCAGGTGAGAACCAGGTAAAACAGATCAGGGAACCAGGTGAGACAGAGACCAGAGAACCAGGTGAGAACCAGGTAAAACAGATCAGGGAACCAGGTGAGACAGAGACCAGAGAACCAGGTGAGAACCAGGTGAAACAGATCAGGGAACCAGGTGAGACAGAGAATCAGAGAACAAGTGAGACAGAGACCATAGAACCAGGTGAGAACCAGGTAAAACAGATCAGGGAACCAGGTGAGACAGAGACCAGAGAACCAGGTGAGAACCAGGTGAGACAGATCAGGGAACCAGGTGAGACAGAGAACAGGTGAGACAGATCAGAGAACCAGGTGAGACAGTGACCAGAGAACAGGTGAGACAGAGGCCAGAGAACCAGGTGAGACAAAGACCAGAGAACAGGTGAGACAGAGAACAGGTGAGACAGATCAGAGAACCAGGTGAGACAGTGACCAGAGAACCAGGTGAGACAGTGACCAGAGAACCGGGTGAGACAAAGACCAGAGAACCAGTTGAGACA